ACGAAGGCAAAGCACTGATGGGCACCAGGAAAACAGAGTCTGTTTTCTGAGAAATGGCTGAAGGAATTCCTTCAATCCCTCTTAAATAGCCCAACTTTATTCTCCCAAAGAAGCACAACAAATTTTTCAGAGTGATGTGACTCTGGTTATCCACGGTCCTTCCCCAAGACCCCAACAAATGCGGGGGAAGGGGATGGATCCCGGGGAACCAGCCCTGCTCCGGAAAGTGAGGATTTGGGTGGGGGATCCACCGCAGGGCAGGACAGTCCTTCCTAGCCAGAGCAGGGCAACATTCCCACCCTGGAAATGGCCAGAGCAGCCAGATCCATGCGACCATCGCTACAAGGAGCCGGCTCACAACTCAGGTACTTTCTATTAAAAAAAAAAAAAAAAAAAAAAAAGGCAAAAAACCCCCAAACCCCAGGACTGCCCCAAATCTGCTCTCCCTCCTTCCATCCCTCAGGGAAAGCTCCCGCCCAGAGGCAGCGGGAGGCAGCCCCCCACCGCAGGGCTGTGTCCCAATTCACATCCCTGCCTCTGGGAATGCTCAGGGATAAACACAATCTGGGCTTTAAAGTTCCCGGCGCGGAGGTTCGCGTGCGGAGCCGGGGTGGGTGGCCGGGGAGCGAAGCTCGGGGGGTACGGAGCTCGGGGGTGTCGCGGGTGGAAGGGAGAGATAAACCCCTTCCCCCAGCAGCCGCGCGGGATTTCCGTGAGGCCGAGCTCACGCGGATTTGAGCTCCTCTGGGAAGAGTAACGAAGGGGGGATCCCCCTGGAAGAGGATCGGGGGTGGCCGGAGGGTCCCTCCTGGAAAAGGATCGGGGAGTGAGGGGGGTGTCCCTCCTAGACGAGGATCGGGGGGCAAAGAGGGGAAACAAGCCCGGACAAAGCGCGAGTGGAGTGGTGGCGCGAGGGGACCCAGAACCGGGAAAACCCCCACAGTCATTCCTCTTTTCTTTTCTTTTTTCCCTCTTTTTCTCCCCCTAATTTTTTATTATTATTTTTTGTTCTCCTTTTGGTAAGGGAGAGGTTTCCTCCCGCGGCCGGTTCGGAGGCCGAGGCACGGGGAGGGGCAGCGCCAAGAACGGCGGAAAAACCCTTTAAAAAATAAATTATTATTATTATTATTGAAACCAACTTTGAAACGCGAGGCTCCCTGCGCGATCCGTCGCCATACTGAAGCTTTCCCCCTTCCCTCTTTCTTTAAGTGCGGGCTGAAACCAAGCCAAAAAAAAAAAAAAAAAAAAAAAAAAAAAAAAAAAAAAAAAAAAAAAAAAAAAAAAAAAAAAAAAAAAAAAGAGAGAGGAATCAACACAAAAACTTTTCCCTGCCCGTCTCCCCCCGCAGCACCCGCGGGACGGGCACAAAGGGCCCGGAGCCGGGATCGCTTCGCTACAAAAGCGGGTAATGAGATCATGGGAGCGAGTCAGCGATACTGTAACAAGCACTAAACAAGAGCGGAGAGAGGAGGAGGAGGAGGAAGGAAAGTGGCCCCCGGCACTCACCGATGAGCCCTCCTACCAGGAAGGCGATGACTTGGAACACGAGCAAGATGCCCCCGACGATGCAGAGCTTGCGGGTGCTCATGTTCTCGATGATAGCCCCGGCCATGCTGGCGGGGCGGGGGGCCCGGGGCGGGCTGTGCTGCGCTGTGCCCGGGCCGCGGGCAGCGGCAGCGGCCCCGCTCCGCCGCCCCAGCCGTGATTGTGCCGCCGCCCGCCGCCCGTGGCCCTTTAAAGGGGCTGCGCGTCACGTGGCACCGCCGCCCCTCCCCGCGGCCTCGGCCCGCCCGGCACCGGCAGCGGGAGCGGGACCTGCACCGGCACCGGCACCGGCACCGGCACAGCACCGGGGACGGCACAGGGACCGGCAACGGGAGAGAGCGGGACCACGATCGGGAACGGGACCGCGGGGACCGCCGCTCTCAGAGCCGGGAACGGCCCCGCCGTTGGAGCTCAGAGACCTGACAGTGCCACCCCTGCCGTGGGCACGGACACCTTCTATCCCCGTCCAACCTGGCCTTGGACACTTCCAAGGATGGGGCAGCCATAACTTCTCTGGAAATTCCATCCCAGCCCCTCTCCACCCTCTCAGGGAAGAATTCCTTCCCAACATCCCATCTAACCCTGCCCTCTGGCAGTGGGAAGCCATTCCCCCTTGTTCTTTCCCTCCGGGCCCTTGTCCGAAGTCCCTCTCCGGCTCTCCTGGAGCCTCTTTAGGCACTGGAAGGGGCTCTAGGGTCTCCCCAGAACCTTCTCTTCTCCAAGCTGAACAACCTGAAAACACTATCACATTTTCTCCAATTTTCTTCCACCCCTGTAGCTCTGAGCAATGCTTCATCAGTCCTTCAGCATTACTGGGATTCATCCCAGTTGCTCACACCAAACAGTTTTCTCAGTTTTGCTCGCCTCCATTTATCCCCATCTCCCAGACAAGGATGCTGTGTAGCCATCCCACCATCTGGTCTCCTGCACTGAGCTCTGTTTACTCACATGTTCCTCTACATGACCTAGGACAAGCTCACCCCCCTCTGCTATCACCTGGTAGCAACAGGACAACGGAAGATGGTTTTAAACTGAAGAAGCCTCCATCTAGATTACATATTAGGGAGTTTTTTACAATGAGGGTGGTGAGGCCCTGGCACAGGTTGCCCAGAGGAGCTGTGGTTGCCCCATCCCTGGAAGTGTCCAAGGCCAGGTTGCACAGGGCTTGGAGCAACCTGGGATAGTGCAAGGTGTCCCTGCTCATGGCAGGGGGTGGAACAGGATGAGCTTTGAGGTCCCTTTCAACCCAAACCATTCAGTGATTCTATCTCTGGGTTTTAGCATTAATGCCTTCCAGCTATTTACTGGATACCACAAAGACCTATGTTACACTTCTCTGTTACAAGTGGAATGATGGGTGCAGAATATTATCCTGTATGACTGAAACTAGACAGGGAGTTGACAAAAACACTCCTTGAGGACAAATAAGCCATGAAAGGAAACAACTGGTGACAAAAATATGGACAGGAACTATCAAAATGAAAGAGGGGTCAAATATTAAGAATCACGAACCATTAATAAACTGAAGCAAATAACAACAACAACAAAAAAGTTTAAAAGAAACAAATGCAAAACCCCAACAGGTATCACAGTGAGATTGCAGAGTGTTGGCAACCCTGTTGGGTGACCCTGTAGCTGAAACTTCCAGGCTTCATGTTCAGTTTTTCCAGGACACAGGGAACCCCTGTGTGCAGACCTGCCTTTACCAGCCTCATGGGAGCCTTGTGCTCACTCTGACACAGGTCAACAGCACCAAAAATGAACGTGGGAATTCAGGGAAGAGCAGGGAAACAGAAGGCAGAGGGCTTGGCTTTTTGGGAAAGACCCCACCAGACCTTGACCAGTCAATGTAGGAGCACAAGAACTGTCCATATGCATTGTTTTGGTGATAGAAGTTTGGGAATAATATAAGTTGGGGATAAAGGCATCAAGGATAACTACAGGGACAGTTTAATCTTTTAGAGTATTGCAAGTTTAATTTTTTTTTTTAGTTTAGTTTTAGCTTTACTTTCACATTACAGTTCTGACTTCATCATTAAAAATAGCTCTTAATGGACGAGTCCTTGCAGCCATTATGAACCCACTCGGATCAGTCACATGGACGTGCTTCCAAAAATCAAAGCCTCTTAGTGGCTTTTTGCCAACACAATTAAAGACTTTAAATACCAAATACTTTATACTGAAATAAAATAAAAAATCCCACATGGAACAATTGCTATTAAAAAGGCTTCTTTTGAAATAGCTAATAATAATTTTTTGGAAGCCTAACACAGTGTTGATTCTGAGTGATGATTTTTGCTATTTTCTCTGTTGGGAATGGGACAAGCTTTTGAATTATGTTTGTTCCCTCATAGTCTGTAACCACTGCTGACAAGGAGAGAGTCATACAAGTCCAGGCCATTCTCTGAGGTCCCAGTTATCCAAATGCAGGGAACTGTGTGACCAAACATAGAATCATGGAATGGTTTGGGTTAGAAGGGACCTTAAAACCCATCTCACTCCATGGGCAGGGATACCTTCCATTAGGCCAGATTGCTCCAAGCCCCATCCAACCTGGCTTTGAACACTTCCAGGGATGGGGCAGCCACAGCTTCTCTGGGCAACATCTTTGGAGCCACAAGTGCCACTAAATCCAATGTGCCTTAATGACTCTACAAAAGTTACACGGGGCAATATTCCCTTAAATGTCCCATTTGTTCTAAGCAATTTATTTCTGGGACAAAAATATAAGAGTTAGAGCTCAAATTCTGACATCAGAAAAAAAAATCTGAAGTGAAAAAGCAAAATAAGTAAACCACAGGAAACAATTCTTCACATTTATAAGGCACTTTCCATTTCTACTCCCTTCCTACATCTTTAATACTACAAAGTTTGGAGACATTAATAACATGTGACTTTTGACACGTGTTCAAAGGCCGTAGAGAGCACATTCCAAAGTGACCACACACAGAATGGCACCATAGAGGAACCAGCCATGCTTTCCAGCTGTTCACAAATCAGAATTCCTGTCTCTGAAAGGTCTCCAGAATCAACCATCTGGGAACTCATCCACTTGCTGCTTCTGACATCATTTTTCCTGCCTGCTTTACACTATTTGGAAAGCTCAGCTTTTAAAATAGCTGTGCCAGGGTCAGCACTAGGCAGGAGGAGGAGCTTTCGACAGAGAATTCTTGGCAGGGCTGGGCCTAGAGCCCAGATTTTCAAAGGGTTTTTGCTGCCTAAAGCTGTAGGTAAGGGCTCAGTGGGATGCTCCTAAGATTTGATGCTGCATGTTACTGGAAAACTTCTGAGAAAACTTTCTTTGGATTCTCAGTTTGCACACAGAACATGCTCTCTCAAAGTTTTGCTATTTCTTCTCCTCTTGTCCACGTCAATCGGATGGTTAATAGGAAAAATTTGGAAAAAAAGCGCCAGAATTAAAGGTCTTTTCCAAACACAACTGTAAAAGGATATATGGACTCTGGTTTTCAGGGTGTTGCTTGATGCTACAACTGCAGGTTCTTGTTTGGTTTGGGATACACCTGAAACATTACAAAATTCCTCCTAATACTAAATAATGTGCAGTTTAAAAATTATTGGAAGTGTTCAAAAGCCCTTCTTATTTCTCTGTATTAACTGCCTTTAAAGGTAAATTCCTAATTCTGTTCCCCTGCAAATACTGATAACATGGAAAATGTTCTCACCAAGCAGGAAAAGGGCGTTTTTTGTTATTTCCAGCACACAGATGGTGAAGAACATTTTCTCTTTGTGAGAAAAGCCTTTTCCATGGTTTATAAAGATACCCAGATGTAAAACTTAGTGCACAACAGATCAAAATCAGTGTGTGGGGCTTGAGATTGGTGAGAGGGCAAAGATCTACAACTTGTAAGTGCCCTCTGCGGTTGGGATTAGGAAGAAGATCGACAGGAATGCAGTGTTTCATCTCAAGCAGCCCCACTCTCGAGTGCAAATATTGTGAGTGATTTCCAAGCCTCATTGTAGCTCAAGGCAAACATTTATTCACTGATTAGAAACCAGGAAAGCTGAATTTTGCCACTGTTCCTACATCTGGGAACTCAGAGCTAGACTTAATATTTCATGGAATCCCAGAATCACTGAGGTTGGAAAAGCCCCCCCAGCCCATCGAGTCCAACCTGTGCCCGATCCCCACCGTGTCACCCAGCCCAGAGCACTGAGTGCCACGTCCAGTCCTGCCTTGGACACCTCCGGGGATGGGCACTCCACTGCCTCCCTGGGCAGACCCTTCCAATGCCTGACCACCTTTTCCACGAAGAAATTCTCCCTGATGTCCAATCTGAATCTCCCCAGGTGCAGCTTGAGGCCATTTTCTCTTGTCCTGTCACTTGTTACCCAACATGAGACCTTTTACTGAAGTGCCACACATCCTGCAAGGTCTGAGATTTCATGCTGCTCTTCAGGCATTAAATATGCAGCCCAAAGCTCCATCTCTGCCAGGAGTCACAGACTCCTCACATAATTTCTTTGATAACAATACGGCAAGAAAGAAAAGAACACGAACTTTGCAAGGGAACCACCCAGCCACCCTGATTTTAATCACAGAATCACAGACTGCTTTGGGTTAGAAGTGACCTTAAAGATCACCTCATTCCAACCCCCTGCCATGGGCAGGGAACCTTCCACTAGAATCTGAATCTTTAATCTTAAAGCACACAATGACCACAAACAGCTGAGAACAGAAGACCTACACAGAACTCCCCAAATGCCCACTCCCAGTCACTCTGCACTTACTGGACTCCTCAGCAGAACTGGGTGGGTGACACTGTCCAGCCTTAAGTCCTTCACAGGCACTGTCTCCACTCAGCAGTCCCTGTCCTGGACTTCCTCAGTGAGGAACTGGGCAAAGAAAGATATAGCTCATCAGCTGTGTGGGCCAGCATCTTAAAAACATTGACAGAACAGTCCCAGACAACTCTCCTGATGGCTCTTCCTTGATATGCTTTCAATCAGGTGACAAAGCTTTTCTCACATACGGATGAAGCTTCAGTAGAATCACAGAATGGTTTAGGTTGGAAAGGACCTGTGAGACCACCGAATCCAACCATTCCCCCAGCACTGCCAAGGCCACCACTAACCCACATCCCCAAGTGCCACATCTACAAATAGAGGCATCGAGGCTTCCCCTCAGTATGTGAGACAAAAGCAAACTGATGATTTGACAGAGCACATTTCGCCCTGACAGTCTGAAAGTGCAGACTTGTGATATCCTGAAGGAGAGCCCAATAACAGCACATTAAAATAATTTATTAAAGACTGTTCAAACTAGATTTTTAGTTTTATTTATAGTCTTTACAATTACCATGTGGTTAAATAGCTCAAGCCCTCCAAATCTGTGGAAGTCTTTTATTCAAGTCTGCCAAGATGTCTTTTTCAACCATTACTGCAATCATCAACAGGCAGAGTTCCTGCAATGGGATATCTGACAAGTCTAGGGAAGATTCATCATTAATCAATCACTAAACTTCCAAGTTCTTCCGTCCAAACCTCTTCCGTAACATACTGATCATCTGGCAGTAAGAACAGCTCTACTTGAATCCTTCTATTTGGTTGAGTAATCATCTGGAGGCCCAAAAGACTTCTCTCACCAAAACCACTCTTAACACCTCCCCCTTGCACGGCTCCCTCCCACCTCTACAAAATCAATTCATAAAAAGCCAGAGCTCCAAAGCCACAGAACTCAGGTGACTCAGAAGGTTTTGCTAATCCACAGTCAGGGACTGACTGTGCTCCATGTTGGCCTGGGCTAAACTTGTGCCAGATCAAAGGTTTACATTTGGGTGATCAGTGCACAACCAGCCAAAGATGTGCTCAGCCTCTCACAACCTTTTTTGTGGACCATTTTACCAGTTGTTCTTGCCTCTTCTCAGTACTCATGGGAATGCAAGCTTGAAGCCCTGCTCTTTTATTTTCTCTCAGGACTGTAGCTGTAGCTGGGCCTCTCCTCAGACTGAGTCTCCCACCTCACACCAAACTTCTGTGATGCCTTTTATCACAGTTACCCCGCCTCTCACAGGGCTTCTTGCCTCGTGTTGAACCTCCACATCAAACCCAACCCAAATCTTGTCTGGCATCTGCATCCCTCATGGCTTTCCTTTCCAAACACCATTCCTGTCTGGCATTTCTCTACCTACCTGTTTGTGTTTCCATCCCCTCCAGTGGTGGACATCACCAATACCAGCTCAGACACAGCACAGTTGGATTAAGAGGCTCCAAGGCATCAAATATCCCAGTAGGCACCACACATGGGAGAACGGAATACTGGGATGGCTTCAAGCATCCATCCAGGCTGAAGACTGCTTTTCCTGGTGTGGGACTTCCTCAAAAAAAAGCAGAGAAGGCTGTATTACTAACAGATATGGAGACTTTATTATTAAAAGTGATGCCCAGCATCCTATATTGACACAATAGGATTAGGAAAAGTAAATTCCTTTTAAAGCCTGAATTGTACACTTGTTTGTAGCAAAATCTTCATGGTTCAACTACTCATATCACTGTTCAGAATACAACAAATTACAGGGTTTTGACAGCTTCTTATAATTTCTCTGTTAAGCTTTTATATTACCATGAATTCAATCCATCCCAAATTTAGCACTGGAAATCAAATTAGCAGATACTAAATTAAAAAAAAAAATTTAAAGTTCCATTTTTTCTTATTCCCACAAGAAGTGAACCAAAGCACACAGGTTGATTGTTGGTACTGGTGGTACCTGCTTTGGAATTCTAACACCAAGCAACATGCTCTAATTCAATTTCAGTGAAAGCTGGTAACAGTTAATTAAGGTGGCAAAGGCATGAGAAATTTAATCAAATTCCAGTGGTAACAGTCTTGCCTGTGTTCAGATGAAAAAGTTGACCAATATGAAGCAGCTTTATCATTTTATTCCTCTGCTGTGTTAAATAATATGCCTTTTGTAGGTGGCTGTTTTGGATTTGGTAAGAAATTATTTGAAAGACTCAATATTTGCACTGTATGTACACACAAAATTATCAGTTAATGCAATCTGAAGCCTCATAATTATTGAGAAATTAGAAATTCAAAGTTAAACCAAAACAATATATGCTCTCCTTGGGAGACATGCCCAAAGTGCCACCTAAACCCAAACATAAAGCACAGATTAGGTTTAAGGGTCTCCTAGAAAGAGAAATCTGTTTTGGAACAGTCACAAAGGGCTATCGCCAAAACTATCTCATAATAGTTACGAGCTGTGATTTGACATTTTAGATACACATTCCTCTTGCCAAGTAATATCACATTTGGCTCTTGCCAGAGAAAATAAAGAGAAGGATCTATCCAGGATGAGTAATTTAGGACGATGTCATCAAGGCAAGCTGCCCCACAGACTGGGGACTGAATTAAAATTAGCAAGTTAAGGGGTTTTGTCCTCTTAAATGTCCTTTCCCTGTCTGTGTACAGGGAAAAAAAATAGAAAGAAAAATGGTTTTCTTGTTAATCATATTTTCCCTCAGAGCCAAATGTAGGCTTTTACTCGAAGGGCAGATGATGTGAGGTGGGGTGGCTAAAGCAATTATTGCTGTGAGCTGTGCTCCTTGGAGGTTTCCCTCCCTTGACATCCTAGTCAAGGAACCTCCTGCTCCTCTGCTGTCCCAGTTCCCCACCCAGCACATTTGTGTTCTGATTCTCTGAATTCCCTGATTTCAAATTGCATCACAACATTGGACTGTACATGGAGCTGGCCAAGGAGCACAGATAGATCCCAAACCTCGAAGAGGTGACCCGTGGCAGAAGAGCGCAGATGGCAGGAGTAAGTGCCTGTTGTCACAGATTAATCCACCTGTAATTAGGAGTTCCTACAACTCTGTGTCCCTGGGTGCCTTGTAACTGCAGCAGTAAATTGCTGTCTCTGTGGCACTGACTATTTCAGCATCTTTTAACTGAGCTAAAAAAGTGGTGCATGGACTTTGCATTGCTGAATCTTGCCATCCTCATTTTACTCAGAGTCTGAAAGAGTTAATGAGGCAGATGGCCAATTTAGGGGGAGATAATCTGTGGTCTCCAATCTCCATGCAGTGATTCACATTCATATCCAGCAGTTTGGTGATTACTCACCCTCTGCCTTGCTGTTCCCAAATGCAGAGTTGGCAGAGTGGCTGCACCTCGGCTGCCCCAAATCACAGCTCCCTATTTAGGGGTCTTTTCCAGCCTAAATGATTCCATGACTTTGGTGCAAACCCACCTCCACCAGCTGTAGGGCAAGTTCATCTTACACTCTGATGGACGGATTCACTCGAGCTTGTCTCTCAGTGTCTGTGAGGGCTCTGCTCTCACTGCAAGAAGAAATGACCCAGATACTTTTTATTACTGGCTTCTCTCACACTCTGCTTTTTAAAATTTGAATAATTTCCTTAGTTTGCTGTCAGGCATTTCTTTAAAGGAAAAGCAATCAGTGTAAGCCCATGTTGTGAACTCTGACACAGATTTTATACGTTATTTAAGCACTCACTCAGTTTTGTAGGCAGCAGATGCATCTGTTAAATGGAATATTATTTTTAAGAAGTCTTGTAGTATATTAAAAATGCATCAATACAAGCAAAGGAAGATTAGTAATGAAAATATTTAAATATTTAAATTAACTTGTGCCACAATGAAGCTAACCTTTCCCAAATGCTATACCACATGCTGGTGCAAATCACTGTAGTTTTTTTACAGTAGATCACAGACATTTCAGCTGGAAAAGACTAATTTGCTTATCTTGTGTGTTGCTATCACTGCAAATTTTTATCCAAGTGTATTTACCAGGTCAAGCAATAGAAAACAATGAGCTGAAAGGGTGAGAAAAGTAAACTATTCCTTAAATCCAGTGTTGCTCATGATTTAAGGGAATGAATGAATTTTTAGAGAGATATTTGCTTTCACAACAGCCCAAAATGATGCCTATCTCATGTCAAGGACTCAAGATGGTGGTATATTTTCAGGAAATCTGATTCTATAACAGCAATAAACCCTAAAAGAATAATGCAGACTATGTCATCGTCAAGCCACATTTCCTCTTATGGCAAAAGAGAAACCTGGAATCATTGTCCTGGAATGCACCAAAACCTCTTAGCAGGAGCTCCTGAAATATTCATGAACATTAAGAAAATAGCAAACCTTTGGAGAGTGTGTTATTTAGATGTTACTTGCTATGTAAGTGCCATCCTCTAAGCTCTAAAAATATCAAGGGAAGGCTTTTTGCAGAAAGTAAATGAAGTAACGGGGACTTGGGAATTTTATCTCCTGGCTGCCACAGACCACACAATGCTGTTTAATTCAGCTCCTCCATTACTCAACTAACTGGGAGAATTCTTATGTGTAGATCACTGGGGAGTTCAGGATTTTAAGATAAGATTTACTAAGTGTGTAAATTATTAGTAAATAGTAGATGAAACACCAAGCTCTCATATACCAGCTGAATTTACATTAACTGAATGACTAAATTTATATTAACCAGCTGATTTACACGAATTTCCCCACCTTCTGCATTTTTGCTCCTTTTGGAAAGTTCAGAGGCAGATGCTTTTTAAACCTCAAATTCTTATGTGAAACAATGTGGAGAAGGAGGAGGGAGGAGAAAAGGAAGGAAAAAGAGGAATAAGGAACTTCAGCTGCAGGTATGGAACATGCAGCAGTGGAGCCACTTCCCATCCCTCGTCTGGGTGGGTTTGTGTCTGGGATTCTGTGCCTCTGGTGAGGCAAGTCAGGAGCTCCCCCAGTGTGAATCAGTCATATTGAAGGAGGTTTAGGAGCATGGAAACAACAACTTCACATGAAGTGCTGGAAATAAGAGACCACTGCTGAAATGTTTATGTGTTTAGCAAAGACATAAATATTTGGAGAATAGCAAAGGACAGTGCTTGGCATGGGCAGACTGAAATCATTTACCTGATTAGTTGGCCCCAGTTCCAAAGACATTTCCTTGGCAGCAGCCCCAGCTCTCCCCAGCCCTGGGCACAGGAATTATCCACGCTCCATGCTTGTGGTGCTGTATAAGGAAACCAAGCAAAAGGCAGCTGCAGGGAGAGAGAGGGGAAAAAGGGATCGAGAGCAAATTGTTTCCAGGTGTAGCCTCAGACTGTCTCGCATTCCCGGGCTGTGTTGCTTCAGGCATAACTCAGACAGCACTTTGTCCTGTCTCCACAAGGCACAGCACAGACTGAGGAATCATCTGGCTGGGAGATCCTTTTTCTGTAGAAATGGGGATGTAGGTTTTTGCTTTTCCAGCTGGATTGATTTCCCATCCGGTTCATCAAGAGGCTGTGCAAATTCTTGTACAAATGGGGTGGACTGGATGAGGAATTCATCCCTGTTCAAAATAAACATAGGGTGTTAGTGATTTTAGTGCTTCTGACCTGATTCACAACTCGGCTATACAAATAGTTTTACTGATACGGCAACACAGGACAGGACAAGAGGAAACATTGTGCCAGGGAAGCTTCAGGTTGGATATTGGGAATATGTCTTCTTGGAAAGGGTTGTGAAGCATTGGAACAGGCTGCCCAGGGCAGTGTTGGAGCCCCCATCACTGGAGGGATTTAAAAGCTGTGTGGATGTGGCACTTGGGCACATGGGGCAGTGGCCTTGGCAGTGCTGGGGAACAGTTGGACTCCATGATCTGGGAGGGCTTTTCCAACCTAAACAGTTCTATGATTCTGTAACCCTTCTGTGGCAATCATCCTGCCTCCAGGGCCCACTGCTGCTGAGAAGATGAAGGTGAAGTGAGAATTTGCCAGATTGCTCCAGACAGAATAATCCCAGTCCCCTTCTCCCAGAGCTATTGGTGAGGATTTGCACCCCCCGAGTTCCTCCTCAGCGACCCTGCAGTCTGGCAGATGGAATCAGACAGAGTTCTGTACTGAGTCAAGAAGCTTTGCTTATTCTGTGTGTACTTCAAGATAAATCCAGCAGAAATTTTGCAGAAGGACTGGGGCACAACCTGTTCTGAGCCAGCAGGAAGCGAATGCCGTGTACATTTCCCATGGCAGGACTATTTCTAGCAACACTCTCCCAGCTATTGATCACAAGTCTAATGTTGTGAATAACACTCTGATCTGAAGTCTGTCTGGAACTGCTATTTTTATAGGCGTAGGAACTTATTTTGGATTCAGTTATTTTGAAAAACAGCAGCCAAACTTCCTACATGTGCTTAATAAAATTATTTGAATACATACATATATAAAGTCAAGTTACATCATCGTGTGGTTTCTGAGAGTTTGTTACTGCCTCAGAGTGATCAGTTGATTAGAATGTGCAATGAGAAGTGATCAAGGCCAGCTTGGACAGGGCTTGGAGCAACCTGGGATGGTGGAAGGTGTCCCTGCCCATGGCAGGGGGTGGAATGAGATGGGCTTTAAAGTCTCTCCCAACCCAAACCATTCTTTGACAACTGCTGTTTGTGCAGAAGGAAGCAACAACTGGTCATGAACCAGGACTCCATCTGATAGAAAACTCACAGAAAAAAATGTTCCTTCTTGTGCAGTGACAGTTCTAATGAATTTTGCTTTCCTGTCCAGTTATATTCACTTCTGGTGACACTGTATGGTTCAACACAGTGTCATTAAATCTTCTGAAATCAAACTCAGCACTAATCTTGAACCTAAACCTCTCATTTATACCACATGTGATGTGTGCAAAAGAAATAGGAATAAGGGAATTTGTTTCTTTAGATATATTTTTAATGCTATGACATTTAGTCATAGGCTTCTTCTCCTGAGGCTGTTATCAACACCTCTCTCTGTCAACAGGAAGAAGGAAAATTAATGTCTACAGTGGACATTTATCATCTTTAAAAGAGAACTGTCATTAAGACAGACCCCTGCCAAGATAGCTGACCTTTAATACACTTAAGATTCATAAAACTTTCACAAGAAAAGAGATACAATAAGAGGTCTGTCAGACAAGGAGAAATCAGAACTCTCCTGGCCCATTTGCACCCTCAGTTATGTTTCTGGGATTGTTACAACTTGCTGGTCCCTCACCCTGCACCAGCACCTGAGTTTGAAAGCCTGTTCAGTTTTAAGTGACCTTCTGCCTGTTCAATTTTGGAACATGGTGGGAGGTTCAGGGTGAAGTTACAGGAGCTGATCTGATACATGTCTGATCCTTACAGGGGAAAGAACCATTACTTTTCCTCCTCCACACATTCCTGAAGCTTATCATGTGCTGGCTCTAATGCTTATTGGGCCCCTCCATCTGCAAACCAAGCAGAAAACTCACATTTATCTCACACAGCTAATAGCTCTTTTCTACCTTCCACCAGACCAGGCTGCTCCAAGCCCTGTCCAACCTGGCCTTGGACAATTCCAGGGATGGGGCAGCCACAGCTTCTCTGGGCAACCTGTGCCAGGGCCTCACCACCCTCACAGGGAAGGATTTTTGTCTAATAACTAATCCAATGTGCAGCTCTCCTGCCAGTTAAGGGTAGTCAGTGCTGCAAAGAGAGTAAAGCACCTTCTACCAAAATAGTTTAAACAGGGGTTCAAATCCTGATCTTGGTTCCTGGTAAGGCAGACATAGACACAGCTCTAGGATGGGAACCTCCTGTGAGCAGTCCTGATGAGGTTATGAGGAATTTGTACTGGTCCCACCTCAGAACACATCACAAAGTCTAACTCCACATTTTCAGCCCCTCTGTTCCTGTGCTTTGGCAAAGAACAGGGACATGACTTTAAAGCAGCTTTCCTGTTCCTATGTGCTGTGCCATACAAGGGTGTGAGGCTGCTGGAATGACACTGAAGCCCGAGGCACAAGAGACTGCAGGGTTTTCTGGATACCTCTGCTCCTGTAACCAGGAGTGCAGGACTGACACAAATCCTTTACATGAGCTTTGTTGGACTGAGAATGCTTCTGGCACAATTGGTATTCTTCAGTGGTGGTTCCCACCCAATGCAAAACCCAGATGGTTTTGATTACAGGATGCCTTGCTTGTGCCAGAGGTCTGGAACCTCCATCCTCTGCCCTCAGGAATGGGAGCTGAGCAGGGCAGGTCCGCAGCACACCACGGGCTGGGAGATCCATGTGGCCTCAGGCATCAAGTAGTGCTGGCTAGGGAAAATTCTCCCAGCAGGCAGAGCCTTTAGAGGAATGCAGGAGAAAAAAAAGCACAATAAGTGTTGCCTCTGCCCGTGGTTTTAACAATACAGGGATCTCTGATCCCCAAAACCTTCACAAACAGCCCCACTAGACTCATGCCAAGGGCTGCAGAGGGGTGGTCTGACAGTCCCTGACTGCAGACTGGCTGAACAGCCAAACCAACCTCTTCTGCTTTTATTTCACCATTTCTTATCAAAATACTGACCTGATACAGGGAGGCTCTTACAAAACATAATATAGCCTGCTGCTGCCAAGGAATGATTGCTGCTAGCATTTATTTTTCCACAATTATATTCAGGGTTGTCCTTTCGAGACAGACCAGATCAAGGAGTGGTGCGTGCAGTACATCATCCCAGGATAAATCCAGGGAGGCTCTATGACTCAGGAGTGACTCACTGCTCCTCCTCTGTTCCTTCCAGACTCTTGGGGGTGTACTAATTTATTGTCAGTCTGTATCTGCAGTAAATAATTCCCCCACTATGCAGAAGGAGTTGCATGTTCTGATCATTCCTCACCTCTCCAGAGGAGTAAACAGGTGAGCAGGGTTTACCTGCACCCCAAGACCCCAGGGCTTGGTAGCCTGTGCAGAGAGGAAAGCAGAGAAATGGGGGAGGTATTTTTCCTTCTTTGAACAACATGTTCTCCAGGTTAATTATTTGAGACTAGATTGTTCCTACCAAACCCCCCAAATCCCAATTACTAAAGTAAGATTGACCTTTCAGAGAGTTATTTCGAAGAACTTGGATAAAATAAGATGGTATGACTCAAACAACAGTGTCTGCAGCACAGTTAAGCCACACAAATTTGTTTCACTGTCAGAATCAAGTATTCTAAAAAAACAAAACCCAAGAATGATTAATCTTTTTTTCTCTTTAGCAAGACAGATTGAAGTGTCCCCGTGGAGCAAGACGGGAAGTATTTAAACAATGCCTGCTTAGTCTCCAGCATGTCCTCACTAGTAGGAACACAAGCCTTAGGACAGAAAGGAAAAAAATAACTAGAATAAGAGGTTTTTACATATGCATGTACAAGACAAATATATTCAGGAACACAGAGAAAAGCACAAAAAGATAATGAATAGCAAATAGGCCTGTTCTTCCCAGCCAAAAAGTTCAGGAGCCTGAGGACACTGAGGATACAGCAGAAATGCACAAACCCAGGATTTTTCCAGTGGCAATGCTGATTCAAAAATCTCTTCCCCTACGTCATCTATCTCATCCCAATACTCATTTTTCCCTCCCCCCAGGTTGTGTTTCATGAGACAGTTTTCAATGGCAGCACTGGGTACCACACCTTTTTATCTCCAGCTGCTCATCCCCAGCCTTGTGTCACCCTGGCACGAGGGGCTGCATGGTGAATGCTCTGTTCTGCAAAGACTAGTGCTGAAGGGGCCCTGAAATGGCCCTTTAAATCAAAGACAGAAAGAGAAAAATAGTTGTAGAGTGACAAAATAGCAATGAAATATAATTTTGGAATTATAAAAATAAAATGTAAACAAATCCTCAAATCCCAAATGTATAGAATCATAGACTCATAGAAGGGTTTAGGTAGGGAGGAACCTTAAAGCCCATCCAGTCCCACCCCCTGCCAAGGGCAGGAACACCTTCCACTATCCCAGGTTGCTCCAGCCCTGTCCAACCTGGCCTTTGGACACTTGCAGGGATGGGGCAGCCACAGCTTCTCTGGGCAGCCTGTGCCAGCCTTCCAGTAACTGAACACTGACATCCTAAAGAAAACAGAATTCCCCATGAAAAGTCCTTTAAGAATAGCTTTGCTGTTACATCATGGAAATCTCAGAAAACTAAAGATCAGAAAAAGAACAACTCCAAAGTAGCAAGATGACGGGCTGTCCATTAATATTCCCATCCCTGCTGTCTGTGATGCTGTGGCCTAGCATTCAAAAATAGCTCTATTCTAACTTTGTCTCAGAGAATTTGGTAACTCCAAAAACCAGATTGAAAGTTAGAAAAGTGAGGTGTATGGAATTTGGACTCCTCCTGTGTCCAACCTGGCAGAGGGAGGTGGCACCCGAGGACCAGCTGAGGCCAGTCCGGGCCCTGGAATGCAGCTGGAGCCAGGCTGCTGGGAGCTGACAGCCCTGCTTTCATCTGGCAGTGGCCCCGCCACCAGCTGCGCCCAGCAAAGAATGAGAGTGCAGGAATTCACAGCATTCCCCCTCGGATTAATTCCCGGCGGTCCCGCTGCGCCTGAATGAACTGGGCTGGGGATTCGTAGCTCTGCTGGGGGAGATTTGCTGATTCCTCTGAGCTCCTGGGGCGAAGTGATACAGAGAGCAAATAAGCAGCGGCAGTGCCGCAGTGAGGCGATGGGCCGGGCGTGGAGCCCTCCCCTCTGTCCCACCCACTGCCGGGGGCTGTTCTCACACAGGTGAACTCAGGAGGGATGGGGAAGGGCCTTGGGCTCTTCCAGTCGCAGCCCTGGTGCCACCCCAAACCCTCTGCCCCAGTGCCCTTCACAGCAGACAAGTTCTGATCACGCTGTGGCAAGGAAAGAAATGAAAATGAGTAATTTTAGGTACTGTTACAATTGAAATTCATGGACAGACACACTGTGTTAGCTATCTGCTACATTTCCTCTTTTTTAAACATATTGGTATTTTTAGATTCAGATTAAATAGTATTTTTCACTAATTTTTTTACCTTTCCATATGTTTCTCTCGGGTTCCAAAAAATCAGAATTCAATTCTACAATAAGAATTTCTGATGCAACAGCCACTCCTGCAGTTCATAATTATTACTCTGGCATTAATGAACCTGTTAATTACACTGCTGCTCTTCTGCTGAGACCAGAGGTCAGAGACCTGAAAATGAGAAAGCTGGATTATATTTTCAAAGCTAAAAACATGCCAGCAGCAAAACTGTTGCTGCATCTTGTTTTTGCCATATCATGGATATATTCAGCCTTACTCATAGATGCTCCTCATCCAGCACCAAAACCAGTGGAAACCAAGACAAGGTGATTAAGTGATGGACCAGGTCTGGAACCAGCGAGTTGTCAGTCCAGCTACAGAGCTCCTGCTCTCACAGTCCTCATTTTACTGGATTAAAGTAACTTGTCATGACAACACTGAAATTTCCTTCCCTTTCTTTAGCACTGCTCAGCCAGTTTTCCAGAAGAGCTTCTTAAAAGTGCCCGGTTGCTTCCAGTTTGAAAGCCTGTGTTCATTTTTTTTTACTTCATTTCTAACAATACCAGCTAAAAATTACTCCATTAGAATTGAGAACCCATTGTCAGTTTTTTTTGTCACCTTAAATGATTAAATGGTGGCCATGAAGGCTGACTGCTGAAAAAAAAATCCTGTCAGACAACAGGGGGGAAAATTCGAAGGCCTCTTTTATGCGACAGCGAGGCTGAGAGCTGCAATAGGTGACCCCAGTTCAAAAAGATTCTGAATCAAAAGACCTACCCGGTGCCTGAGGGTTTTCAAGAAGGCTTTATCCAGCTCTGTGTGTTGAGGGCTGGATTGAGCAGCCTAGAGAATCCCAGAGCCCTCCCTCTCCAGCCCAGCTGAAGGGCTCCCCTGCGGCGCCGGCGCCTGCAGTTGTTGAACAAGTGTTTCTCACACTACAGCTCAATTAAGTCAAGGACATCAGGGAGAAGATGATCCAAGTAGCTTGGAGAGCAGAGGTAACCCACAGGAGGCTGGAGAATTCAAGCCCTTCTATCAGTCTCTTGAAATATACCTTAAGACGTTGCAGGACGTTTTCCGTTCTTTTTCTGCCATCATTAGTTGTTCACTGTGTTTCACAGTCAATATCACGAACCACAGACATAATTTTTAGTGCATCAAACTAAGCTAAACATGTTACCAATAGATAAAATTATGACAAGTGTATAATATTGCAAGGGAGTACATTCAAACCAAGGATAAAACAATTCAAGTATGAAGATACAACAGAATTTTCACAAAAATATAACAACTATTAATTTTTTACTATGATTCCATCTGAGCTGTAAATACTCATATAGGTGGTTACTGGCAGGAGTAACACAAGCTACTTGATGTGGGTTTCCAGCCCTGATGTTTGCCAGAGATTGAAATGCTGAAGTGATTTTCCAGAACCCCATTTCTCAGTGTGGTTTGTGCACTCTGTTCTGCCACTGCAAAATGTTAATTCACATGGTACCAATTACTGCATCTTTGACACAACAAGTAGCAGCGAGAAGAAACCCCTGTGGTTTTTATGAGAATAGTAAGTAGAAGTCAAGAAGACATTTCATGCCAAGTGGATCAGGAAAGCAGGAACTGGAGAAGGATTTTATGGTATCACTGCAGCCTCTTGCCTGTGATTTTCTATGTATTGTTGCTTAATACTCAGTTCCTTGCTGAAACTTGGCACCAAAACTCAAAGTAGAGATATTCCATAAATCATGGCAGATTTCATGTAGTTCCAAGCTCAGAAATGAAGTTTTTGTCTTAAAAAATGTGTTCCATGATCTCAAAACAATCCAGGACTGAGGACTCTGCCATGGCAGAGAAGGAGCAAGCATTATTAGGTGCACAGAGTATGTGAAGAGAATGTACTGACCACTGCTGAAACAAATGTTGATCTCTCCTTCTTCTGAACAAAGGTTTTTTTATCAAATAACCACTAGGGGATTGGAGAATTCATTTCAGCACATAGGCATATATGCACACATATATGTGTGTGTGTGTGTGTGTCTCCATGCTTTTTATCTTGCAACAGGCTGATCAAAGATCTAATTTGTCTTCTAATTAGGCCTTTTTAATGGTTAAATCTCCAACACTGTAAACAGGAATTAATAAACCTTTACCTGGATGCACACAAACGTTGGCATCGAGCATTCTGCTGTGGTTCCTCTTTGCTCCTTAAAAAGCTGATGTTTCCATGTGCCCAAGGATCACAAGGATGGCTTGGGTTCGAAGGGATCTTGAAGATCATAATCATCATCCAGGATGGCCCAGGCTGTCTGGAGGCTGCTGGATAAGGAGATGCCCCAGCCCCCAAAAGGAGCATAAGGTTCTTCACGTAGATTTAGTGTATCCATGAAGAACCTGGAAAAGTGCAAAAGAGAGAACAAAAGACTACTTGCAGGGTTTTTCTTCCTGTTTTTGGTACTTTATCACTCTGGCATCTTTATGTGGCAAGCAAATCACAGTAAATAGTGTTTTTATCCTTTCATATATTACATGGTTGCAAAAATTGCTGACAGAAACTGCCAACACACTGCACTAATAACTGTGATGCTGTTTCACTGGCAGACCATCTGCTTCAGGGGCTTTTGATGATGCAACTACACTGACGTTTACAGCAACGGAAAATTTTCTGGTATGACCTCAGAGTGGGGGATCCATTTCTAAGGGGATATGTAAGAAGAAGGGGGGTATGTTAAACTAGCAACCAGTTAGGAGTCTAAAGGAGACAAGATAGGCATGAGGAAGGTGTGGACCTGCAAATTTGGAACTACACATTTAGCCTCAATTCCTCTTTCAAGTAACATTTTCCTGAGAGCAGGAAACAAACACGTCACATCCCCCCCAACGTGCTGTGCGTAACAGCAGCTCCTACAGCATCGATAGTGTATTTACTCAGTGATTCATCCCCTCCCTCCATGTGTTTATCTGACTGCCCTGACCACATCCACTCCCCAATTACTAGCTAGCAATGGCCTTACAAAACCATGTTCAAGGCACTCCAAACAGTTGGACACAGGCTGAGGCTTTGGTGTCACCACTCAGCGCCAAGTGCTCGCACAGGGGAATAAATCCATCAGCACTTTCCTAGAATCATCCACCAGGGTTTGCAACTGAATCTGCAGCTCCTCTAACCCACAAAAAGCTTTCTGATGACTTCAGAAGACTCTTGGTTAGGCCTTTAAAACTGAGGAAGCAACAGATCTTCACACAGTTGTTGCATATTGCAGCTGTACAAGTTTTTCAGCAGCCACTCAGTGATTGCACCGACTTCTACAGGTAAAACCAACAGGTGCTCTGTCAGCTCTGCCACTTCAACCCAGGAAAGCCAAAGTTATTTTTTTTCTCATTGGGGTATCACCAGTTACCTGCATTCTCAGGGTGGAATTCTGTTGTCTTCAGCTTGTAGCAGTGCAAGTCAGGACAGACTCTGGCAGTGCAACAGGGAATTGTACACACTATTAATTATGTACACACTATCAATTATCTCTTAACCAGAACATAGTTCTGCTCTTTTTTTTCTGTGCATTTTTTGCAGGAGTAAGACAAACCAGAAACTCCCATTTTTCAGTAATGTAAGCAAGTGTACATGCTCTTTGTCTTCTCCAAATCAGCTATGTTTCCACAATTGGAATTATTATGCAATTATTCATGGGTTTGTCAGCTCTTTGTGGCAACAGACCGGGAACCTGGGAAGGCTAAACTAGAGTTAAAAAATACTGTGATACTGTGTTAAATGGTGTGAAAAATAAACGTGGATAAGGTTTTGATGCTAACAGGTATTTTTATAGGTGTTGTAATACATCTGTCTCATACAGCTGTACTTGAAGAAATGTGCAGAAAACTTCCATGACTCAGCTGCTCACCCTCATCTTTTGGCACAATTTGTGAAGGCCTACCTGGCTCTGCACATCTCTCTGTGGGGATTCATAAAACTTCAAGCCATCCAAACTAAGAAGCTAAATAGTATGGGAGCATCTGATACATCCTCAGTGCAAATTAAATTTACTTACTGAGGATCAGGCTCTCAGGTTCTCTTCCATTTAGTCTCCCATCTTCCAACTAGTTCATCTGCTTCCTTGTGTTCTCTTATATCTTCCTGCAACTAAAATAAGCTTCTTACTGTTTCATATCAAATCCAGTTCAGCACACCTCACAAGGCTGAGCTATTCCTTTGGAATAGATGCAAACACACCAAGTGGAAGTTACTTCATTATCAAATTTGTTTTGAATCTATTAAATCTATTTTAGAATGATGTAAGCCCTGAAAATGCAGTGGGACTGCCCAAGTCTGTTAGCACTTCTAAGTAAACAAACAAAACCTGTTTTAATTTAGCCCAATTTCCAGGCCCCCATTGTCAGAACACCACTAAAAGCTTTTTGGGTATTAAAAAACAAAATCTAAATAAGAAACAGAAGCTCCACAAGGAGGAGGGCTTTGTGGGAACCTTCCTGCCTTTGGTCTGACAATCCAGAAAGTGTGTTCTGGTTTCCTCCAGCATCCGGTGCACTCCAGCAAGTTTCTAAATCCAGCTGAGTTCAAACTTCCCTCAAAGCATCGGTGTTCCTTAAATGGCACATTTCAGCTTTGCTGGCAGAGCTGCAGCTCATGGTAAAGGAAGCCACCACCACATTAGCATTTTCCCTAAATGCTGCTCTATATAGTCTCAATGCTCAGCTCAAAAGTCGCTAAAATAAGCTCCTAAAATAACAACTTCAAACACTTGCACACGGCTGCAGCCTCTCAGAAGGGCTGTTTTTTCCTCCCTCACTCGATTCCCCCTTGGTGTTTGTTAAACAAAGGATGCTCCATGCTATGGCAAGAGAGAAAGGCTGATCCCAGCTTGAGGACTAAAATAAGTCAATTAGGATCTGCTGGTTCTTAATTAGAGGATTTGTTATTTATACCAAGCTGTCTCCCAGTACAAACTGGTGGCTGATACCTTCTGTCTGTGATAAGCATTCACTGAGATACATGTGGGGGCTGAAATGCAGGGAAAAGTGTTTCTTTATCCTTTAATCTGTGCAAACAGCATTCAGCTTTCACGAGAATGAAATTAAATTACTCATTAAAGCCTGAGTAAAAGGCACCTGTGTTACATACAGCAAATCCTGCTTGTGAACACTGATTCTATCTACTGGAAAACCTGTACAATAATAAAGAATCACACAATAATTTAGGCTGGAAAAGAGCTTTGAGATCATCAAGTCCAACTGTTAACCCGGCACTGACAATATAAGCAATAAAAAATTAACTGCAAGAGGTATGTAAAAAAAAAAAAATCTGCAAATTAAAATCACATAAGATGGAATTGCCATACAATACCAGCAGTTTAGAGATAGTGTCTCTTATGGAAGCCACACACTTAAATATGGAAAATAAGAACCGTGAAAATTATAATGGAACAGGAGTCACTGATATATTCACAGAACTGAGTAGGAAAGAATCTTACTAATCCATGAAATGATATATGGGTCAGCTTTAAAAAAAAAAAGCCCAGAAATAACAGGAAGCCCAAATCTCACTTGGAATACATATCCAAGCATTTGCACATGCAATTCCTTCTCCAGCAAGCTGAGCACGAGCTTGCAGCATTTTCACTGCCACCAACACCTCTTTGAAATTCACACCTCCTCAAATGTATTCTCCTGCTTTACATGGATTTCTGTCACACTTTTTCCTTTCCCATTATCACCTGCACCGCACAGAGCACAAAAATTCAAATTAAAACCCATGGGAAATGCAAGAACTCTGCAAAGCTGCATAATTACTTCTGTCTCTCCTCTTCAGCTGTTCACAAGTTTCTCAAACTGTTGGGAAAAGAGTTCTGGCTACACCAGGGAAAGAGGGAAGATGTGAACTGAAATGAGCAACAACCCAAAAAACAAATGCCCCAAACCAGCACGAATGATGCAGCAGCTGCCAACTTCATCTATGGGTTCCATCAGGAACTCCCCATGGCTGCATCAGTGCCCACAACGCGTGTCCAGATTGGTGTATTTGTTAACAGTTTCATTATTCAGTTGAGAGGAGGCCATGGAGGTGCTCCAAGGGCTGGAGCCCCTCTGCTCTGGAGACAGGCTGGGAGAGCTGGGAGTGTTCACCTGGAGAAGAGAAAGCTTCAGGGGGACCTTAGAGCCCCTTCCAGTGCCTAAAGGGGCTCCAAGAGAGCTGGAGAGGGACTTGGGACAAGGGCTTAGAGGGACAGGTCAAGGGGGAATGGCTTCCCACTGCCAGAGGGCAGGGTCAAATGGCATATTGGGAAGAAATTCTTCTCTGTGAGGGTGTGAGGCCCTGGCACAGGTTGCCCAGAGAAGCTGTGGCTGCCCCATCCCTAGAAGTGTCCAACACCAGGTTGGATGGGGCTTGGAGCAATCTGGGATACTGGAAGGTGTCCCTGCCCATGGCAGGGGGTAGAATGAGGTGCGCTGGTCCCTTCCAACCCAAACCAGTCTGGGATTCTATGATTATCAGTAATCAAATGCCGACCACTTGTCCTGTTTTGACTGGTCCAGAATTAATGAGCATTTTAGGAAAATGCAAATCAGATCTGGGACCCTATTTTTTAAAAGGGAGTATTTACACATGCAGACACCCCACCCCTGACTTAGCCTGACCCTCTGCAGTGTCTGTGTTACCCTTGAGTGCTACATTTTCTGTCAGAGCATCTCTGCCCCTTGCTCCCTGGGCTCTCCCTGGGTCCAGCACAGCCCTTCATCTCCCTGTCACAGGATTTGGGACTGCAGGAGGGACTCTGACACTTCCCACGGGACAACAGAAAACCACCCAAGGCAGTGATGTCACTTCCCACAGCTCCACCTGCATCGAGTTTCTGATTCAAGGGAGCACAGCATCGGACTGCCCTGTCTGCTCTAACTGTAGAAGGACAAAAAAATATATTTTTACTTAGAATAGTGCAGCAAATCATTATCCTCAAGATTTTTTAATAACATATAGAACTTATTTACCTAAAAATTCCAGTCTATGCTGGATACTTTCACTCACGAACATATTAGTCATCACTTAATTATCACAACCCAGCCTTATTAATATGTATAATATGGATAAAGAGCTCTCTGGCAGGGATGCATTTTAATGAAGGTGCTGAAAGGCAACACACAGTAATTTCTAGAAGGTTATGCCATGAC